GGGAGGTAAAGGGGGGGATGGGAAGTAGTGGGGGGGGCAAAAGTGGGGTGGGAAGCAGTGCGGGGGCAAAAGGGGGTGGGAGATTCGCTGGTGACTTTCCCCCGTCGGTGACCCGGTGTGCGCGGCTGTCCCAGGCAGCGTTGTGCACAGCCAGCCCCCCCGCCCCGTCGCCAACCGGCTGCGATGGAACCTGACGGCCGAGCAGATCGAGAGCATGACCGTGGAGCTCGTGGAAAGGACCAAGCAGGTGTACGACCGCGTGGGCGCGCAGGAGCAGGGCGAGGTCTCCTACGAGAACACCCTCAAGGCTCTGGCTGACGTGGAGGTGGAGTATACGGGTACGCGGAGGCACGGGACGCAGTTTAATCTCAGCAGCTCTCGTGAGGAGCTGGATGACGGTTCAGGTCTTTGGTCTGTGGAATCGTCTCTTCCCATCATTAACCGCTGCAGCCTTGCTCTGCATTTCCTCTCGTTAGCCTTTGTATCTGGGGGCTCCAACTAGGGGGAGTGGGTAGGAAACGTGGGAGACTGCCATGAAAAGCTTCCTGGCAGCAAAACCTCTTTGCCTCTGGGATAAAAGGCCCTTTCCACCCCCAGCTCCTACGAGCTGACACCTGACCACATAGCTATCTGAGCCCCTTTTCGATTTTAACCTACATATTTGTTTTTAGGAGCTAGGGCTTACGTGGTGCAGAATAATTGCACCAGGCTTACAAATGCAGCTGATGTCAGCAAAATGCCCGCTCAATCTCGGCATGTCAGGGTGGATAAACCACGCAGACTTTGCCTTCCCCTTGTAGGATCTTAAATGCTGAGCAGTTGTCTAGACAGGTTGGCAAATTGGGCGGGTCGGAACCAGATGAAGTTCAGCATTGAGCAGTGTAAAGTGCTCTCCACATGGGGATGAACAGTCCCCAACTTACAGGCTCGGTGGTGACAAACTGACCAGCACCACGAACGAAAGGGACACGGGGATAATAATAGACCACAGCATGACCGTGAGCTGTAGCCACCAGGGCTAACAGTACCCTGGCATGCAGCAACTGATGCATCTCCAGCAAAACCAAGGAAGTGATTCTCCCGCTCTGCTCGGCATTGGTGAGACCGCAGCTGGAGAACTGTGTCCAGTTCTGGGCACCGCCCTTTAACAAGGATGTGCAAAAGCTTGAGAGAAGCACCCACCCATATGATCAGGGACTTTTGCAGGGCAAGCCATACGAGGAAAGGCTGAGGGACTTGGGTCTCTTCAGCCTAAAAAAGAGCAGACTGAGAGGAGACTTGGTAGCAGCTGACCGCCACATCAGGGGAATACATCAAGGGCTCGACGAACAGCTGCTTAGCAGGGCACCCTTGGGGAAAACCAGGAGCAATGGCCACAAACTCTTGGAAGACCGTTTCAGGCTTAACATTAGGAAAAACTTCTTCACAGTCAGGGTGCCTGGACTGGAATAAACTCCCTCCAGACGTGGTGCAGTCACCTACCCTGGAAATCTTTAAGAGGAAACTGGACGGTCACCTTGCTGGGGTCACCTGCCCCAGTTGTCTTTTCCGCCTAGTGCGGGCGGGCTGGACCTGATGATCTTGCGAGGTCCATTCCAGCCTTAAAATCTATAAATCTATGAATTTCCACAGAGCCAGAAGGTTGTGTGATACATTCCAGACCAGTAAGACGGCTAGAATCCTGCCCCAAGGAACTTGCACCGATCCCAGCGGATCACTGTAGAGACCGGGGATGGAGCAGGCTGTGGGGGAGGGAGGTCCTGTCAGGTCAGAAGTGAGGCAGGTTGGTGGGATCGCTTGCTGTCCGCTACTTGGCTCATTTGTCAGCGTGCGGGGCTGTCGGTTTGCATTGCCTCCACAAAGCATCCCTTGCCTGTGTGGTATCAGGCTGAGGCCAGCTGCCCTGCCACAGCTTCAGCCCCTGGCTCTGTCGTTCCAGTTCACCGAAACATGCTGGACTTCCCCCAGCACGTCTCCCCTTGCAAGGACATCCGTACGGCGAGCACAGAGGCTGACAAGAAGCTTTCGGAGTTCGACGTGGAGATGAGCATGAGGCAGGATGTGTACCAGAGGATCGTCTGGCTCCAGGTTTGTGGCAGGGGGGTGACACATGCCCAGGGCAAGAGGGGCTTAGTGTCTGATTAGGAAGTCTGCAGAGTGCTTCTGGGGGGGCCAGTGAGTCCCTTCTGTGTACCAGGGGACTCTGTTAAGTCCAGTTTAATGCTAAATTGCCCCATCAGGGTAAACAGGATCAAGTTGTTCTTGTGAAGGACAGAGGGTTCAGTTCTAGGCCCTGTTGTCAGCTCTGACTCCGTCTGTGGCTTGAAATGTTAGGTGCTCATGCTCTCTGCCTCAGTTTCCCCATCTGCACAGTAAGGGGAGTGATGCTGACCAGCTTTTGAAAGCTGGGGGTGGGTTTAAATCTGCAAAGTGCCTTGAAGGTCCCCTGATGAAAGCAATGATTGCATCTGAAATGACCTGTCAGTGACTCCGCTCTCAGGTCTCGTCCTTTTAGCAGGAGACATCTGTCTTGTTCAGGGTCAGCAGTCGTTATGACAGTATGTGGGCCTTGCCCAGTCAGTTCCCCGGCTCTGGGCAAGCCAGCATTGGTCCCAGGGCGCTGCTGCCTCCCTTCCTAATGCCCCTGGCTGTTTGTTTTACAGGAGAAAGTGGAAAGTGCATCCCTGAGGCCTGAAGCCCAGAGATACCTGGAGAGGCTGATTAAGTTGGGCAAGAGAAATGGCTTACACCTCCCTGAAGACACGCAGGAGGTGAGATGGCAAGAACCAGAAACTAAGGCTGTCTGGGCCCATCCATGGGGCTAAAGATCAGGGTCTAGCGGTCAGATCAGAGCATAGGCATCCTGTATCCCTGGCTCCGTCACCAGTTCACTGAGTGACCTTGGGGGATTTGCCCCAGGTTTCCCTTCCTGCGCTTCTCCAAGGGTCTGGACAGGTTCTGGGGTGAGAAGTCCTATTCAGCAGCATTGGTAGGAAAGCAGCTCCCAGCTGGGAGTGACAGTAACCTAAGGCTTGCAGGCAGGGGCTGGCGCTGGGAAATGGCGAGCAGGCTTGGCTTGGGTTTCCTGAGCTGGTGAGGGCAGTCCTCTCAGTAGGGGACTGAGCGGCAGCTGGCTGGGCCGAGCAGCAGAGGGCACGAGGTGGGTTAAAAATAGAAATGAAGGAGAAAGAAGAGAAGCTTGAGGCTGGATGTGCCTTGGTCACCTGCAGCTGCTCTAGCCAGCCAACAGCAGGTGTGCTGGGGGTGGTGGACCCGAGCCAGACTGAGGTTGAGGGCTCTGCATACAGCCAGCACTGTGCCATCCTGCTTGGAGAAATACCCGCAGCAAACATGGGGGAGCTGGGGGTGCAAAACTGCCAGCCCGGCTGGAGGTACCGCTCAGCCTCCCCTGCCTGACATGCTCATCTCCGCTTGCTTCTTTTGCAAAGAAAATCAAAGCCATTAAGAAGAAGCTGAGCCTGCTCTGCATCGACTTCAATAAGAACCTCAACGAGGACACCACCTTCCTTCCCTTCTCCAAGGAGGAGCTCGGTGAGGGCCAGGCTCGGTACTTACAGGGACAGGATTGGGGGGGTCGTGCTTCCCCCAGCCTAGGGCTTGCCGTGGCGTGTGCATCACTCAAACGGGGGGTCTGGGCTGCAGCCCCTGCTTGGAGCTTCCTTTCCAGCAGCCACTTCCCACTGCAGTCTGCAGGCAGGATTAACTGGCAGCCCAGCCTTGGCTTGCTTGGTCCAGGAAGATCTGTACAGTGGCTGCCATGTAAGCCCATCCCAGAGGCCTCTTATACCTGCATGCAGTCTTTGAGCAGCTGGTTTGTGCCA